CCCAAAAAAAAAAAAGCCGTCTAACAGGGATGAAAAGAAAAAAAAAAAAGAATACAAAAATAACTTTCTATCTTCCAAATCAAGCAGTCTTGCTTTTAAAGAGACGCACAACAAATATCCTGATGTATGATTTACATCTCAATCAAAATGGTGAAGAACGAACCTAAATTATAAAAATCAAACCTTCAAAGTTTTGGCAAAATCCCTGGGAAACTGCTCCCGCTGAGCATGTACACTTTGCACCAAAAAAAACCCTGTTAGCTCTGTGTGATGACACCATTTTACGATAAACTGAGAGATAATATTATCTATGAAGGATACAAATGAAATTCACAAACCACGTGTTCTTTTTAAAATTTCATTACCTACGTCCTCAGAATACAGCAAATTCCTATGTTGCAATCCCTGTAAGAAAATTCATGGTAACAAGTTAGGCTGACAAATGCGGTTGAGTTACTGGATATTCAGTGTAATAGATGTGAATAAAACACGAAGCTGAATCAATTTATCTTTTGTTTCCCTCCTCTCTGTCAAGTTGATATTTAAGACAAATAAGATCAAGGAATCCTTTTTCTCTACTGCAGAAAATGAAAATATATTTGTTCAAGTACATGCACATAGTCACATACGCACAATTTTCCGCAAGATACGAGAACGTACACTCATCTTTTTCAGTGATTTATTGAAACCTACTATACAGACTTTAAACAATAATATCAGAAACATCGTATGTCGAGTCATCTATACGTTATTAAAAGGAGAGCATAAATGGCCTTAAACAATCTGAAAAACCACGAGTGTAACAACTATAGTTATAGTGCACTACCCAAGAATATTCTTTTGCTTCATGGATCTAAAGCATAATAAGAAAGGCACAAGTTTCATTACCAACATATAGTGGATTGCAACCAATAAGTCAGCTACCTTAAAAGTCAACAATGCATAGCAGTTTGCAGGATAAACTCGTCATTGAGATGGACAAGAAAGAAAGACTAAATGTGAAGCAATGAACAACTACTGGAACGCATAGGTCTAAGGTCATACTAGTTCAGCTGTTAGAAACAAAGATCTACCCATACTTATGAAGACTCGATATCCTTATCATAAAGAGAACCTAACTCTTAAATAAAAACAGCATCTTTTACATACTCTAAGAGAGAGGTAAAAAAAAACAATGAGATGGTGGAGAACATGACTAATATTTCAGCATAAACAAACAATGGGATAGATAATGTCATACTTTATTGTCATTTTACTTGGTCAGACAGTCTTACACGTTTTCGGTTCTATCGTATATCAACTTTCTTGTGTGACCTCAAGTAGAAAAACATAGAAAGATAAAGAGTATCATTGTTTCAGGCTCAGATCAGTACCAAGATCAAATGTAATTTCCTAAGGGAATAGAATTCAAAAACTTACAGCAAACAATTGCCTTATGTGTCGGGCATGTATATGAAAATTACTCACAAGACCTATATAATATATCTGCACACAAACTAGAATGAGGAATTCAGAATTTCATGTCTTAAACATTTGATATATCCACAATTGACTATAACTAATTCACACTTCCATATAATTATGCTTCTTTTACGATATCCAATGTGATTATATAGAATTGTGAATACATTTGGAAAATCAATTGCATGAAAAGGGATTTATCTCAATCATCCATGTCCGGCTTTTTAAGCAAAAACCCACACCATATCAAAAACACGTCTACACTTAACTCTCAAGACTGTTATATACATATTTATGGATGCAAGAACACACACACACACAACAAAAAAAAAAAAGAAAAAAAAAAAGCAAAGCAATCAATACCTCTATTGGATTGTCTATTTGGAATGTCATACCCCACGCCAAAATCCTCAGACTCTTTATCGGCTACATCTGCCGAGTTCCCAAGAGCATAACCGAATGAACCCGAATTATCCAGCCCAGAAGTTGGAGTTTGCCAGGTCTGATCACCATAAACAGAACCCCCACGGTAAATATCCCCATAAGACCCTTCATATCCGCCCCTGGATGAAGAAAAAGCAGACACAGAGCCAACTCCCGTCCCACTGTTCCTCCCAAACCCTCCTGAACCGATTGGGTAGTTATTCTCCCCACCACCTCTGTAACCCACAGTGCCTCCATTGAACCCCAATGAAACTCCCCCCAAAGTACCTCCATTGTTATTAGAAGTTCCCCAATTCCCATTCCTAAACACCCCAAAACCACCACTCCCTGAACCAATGTACGAACCCGAGCCAACATTACTCACCGCATTACTACCAAGCCCACCATTTCCCCACACATTCCTAGATGGCGAGTTGAAAAAGGACTCACCCTGGCTGCTACTATTCGTATTGTTATACCCAATAGGGGTATTATATCTGCTCTGAGTACCGCCCACGTAAGGGCTCATCACACGCCCGTACCCCACACTGGACCCCCCTCCCAAACCTTGATTCAAACCTTGATCTATGTTCATGCCCACACCATAGGCGGGCGACCCAAAGTGTGAAACCCCAGCACGTGCATCGACCAGAGGACTGTACCTGCCGTCCATCCTAACACCGTAGCCCCCAAGCGAGCTTAAGTTGTAACCCTGTGGATAGCCACTGAGGAAACCACTACCCCTGCTGAAGCCGTAGTTATACCCAAGGAGCGGACTGCCACGTGAGGGCCCGGGGGACAGCTCCTTGGGAACAGCTCGCTTTACCTCGACCATCTTTCCGTTGAGCTCGTGGAAGGTCTTGTGGAGCACCCTGTCCACTGCATCCTCCGAGTCATAGGTTATGAACCCAAAGCCCCTCGGCCTCTGGGTGTTGTGGTCATACATGACCACAACGTCTGTTATGGATCCAAACTGGCTGAAGTAGTTCTTGAAGTCACTCTCAGTCACCGTGGATGCTAATCCTCCCACGAAAATCTTTTTGGTCCGCCCAGGCACAGGCGATCCCTGGGTGCTGCTACTGTTTCTATTGGTCAAGTTCTGGTCGTCTCTTGGGACAGCTTTTTTAGCTTCCACCTGCAAATATAGAAGATAGTCAGCATCTCCATGCAAACGAGATAGTGTAGACCATTACACGAAAAATTATGACATTTTCATCAAAATTTTAATCAGCCTCTATCGTGGCTGGCATTCTTTATCAACTTCAAAAAGGTGTATAAATTGTAATCCACAAAAATACAGTCCAGAAACGCGGTCTAGTTATTGTCTTTATCATCTATTTCCAGCAAAATTCATAAGCAATTGATCTTATTGAAATTTATCTGATTTTCTTTCAACTTCAAGTGTCGATATAAATTCGAGAATGCAAAAAACGCATCCTTTTGCAAAAATGCACCACAATCTCCAAACGATTATGATCCAAACCCACTTACAGTTCGTCCGTCGATCACGTGCTTCTCCTTGACCACTCTTTCGGCAACCGTAGGGTCAGCAAAGACTATGAAGCCGAACCCACGGGCCCGGCCTGTGGTTCTGTCCCTCATGATCACTGCCTCCATCACCTCCCCATACGTCCCGAAATATTCTTTGAGGCGCTCCTCGTTTGTGTCCCAGGAAATACCACCGACAAACAATTTACCTCGATCCATCTCCATATCCCTGCCATTTTGGAACATAATTAACATACAGCCCTTCGCATAAACCAAACACAGCTGCTTCTTCATACGCAAAAGGAAATAAAAACAAAGCAGTCTTGCAGAACAAGCAAATCGTCAAATCACAAAATGGAAACTAACTTGCAGGTAGAATCTCATAGAACACCTAGATCTTGTCAACGCAGATCATATAAAGAAAAATGACACGGCTGAGCCACTATACAAAGCACTGGTAAATTCGCAGAGATTGCAGACAAATCCAGCGTTAATCACACGAGCAAGAGAAGGGGTCCACGATCAAAAAGTTAAATCGAAACTCGACTACCGTGCGGACAAAAATTCAAATCAACATCAAGCCACAATACAACGAATGAGTGACACCTTTATCCAGTAAATCGGATAGGAAGCAGTTGCAGACGGATCCCAATACAGAGTCCGAAATGCTGGATTTAATACGACACCATCGGATCCCTGATTCATCAATCGGGCTTCACCGCACGGACGGATCCATGGAAATCTCACAATTCCTACAGATCAGACAAGCACTCAATCAATCAGAAAATGACAACAAAATCGACAATGGAAAGAAAGATCTAACGAGAGGATTATACCTTAATGAAAAACA